TCATTGACAAGCCTTTCCCTGTACGTCTCTTCCCCTGTCCCATCCATTATGAATAAAGTGCTAATGAACTACTTTTGGAAAATTAATGCACTCGTCTATTTAAAGAAGTTGTTTTTCGTTTCATGTGTTCACTGATAAGAGGTGGGCTCACGTCTGTCTGAGGGGACTTGTCTTGGCTTTATTTGCCATCAGAGGTGTGGAACTCTTTTCCTTGGTGATATCACTCTCTACTTGTGCCTGTCTGGGTCAGTGCGCCTTTGGCTCGAAATGAGAGAAGACAAACAAATAATATGTGTATCCAGGGAGCAGCCTGGCCCGGGTGAAATGATTTCATTTTCATCTTGATCTCTATCTTATCTACCTTCTTTGTTCCTCTCACCTTCAGTGCTGCGTAGATCAAAGAATCTTGTTTTCTCTCCCTCCGAACATGCCGAGAGAAGGGCGTGGGTGTGGATTAGGCCCGGCTGGGGGTCCGTCCTCTTGCATTGGGGCTCTAGCTTTGGTGTAAATGAAGTTTGGTGCCCCTGGGATATCGTTCCCCCTCCTGCTGTCGTTAACAAACAAGATATGCCCTCTACGAAGTGTCTGTCCCGGTCTGTGCCAACCTCATCAGTCTCCCGCTATGTTGGGTGCCCATTGCGGCCTTCTGATGGGACGGTGAGGTGTGAATAGCCTGATGTTGGAAACTGGCTGGAACGGACTTGCCTCTGCTTGCCTGTAGCACTTGCAGCCCTAAGGAGTTTGATAATGGGGATGCGCCAGGGGGTCCCGCACAGCTGCAGTCAGTCCTATACACTGTTTAATGATAACACTGATCAAGATGGAAGATTCTGTTCATTTACTTGCCAGCCGTTGATTTCACAAAGCTTATTTAACTTTTAGTGTAATCAAAGTGTTATTTGATTAATCAGGTGAACAGATTTCACATTAAGAATGACACTTTAAAATCAAGAACAATGCTTCAAAGATCTTGGTGACATGGCCTTGTGGTTAAAGGATTATTTAGAGACTGTCAACAGCATTTAAAGTGCCAATTTAAATACAAATCGATGCACATGGAGCAAGGAAAGCAGAATGAGAAGTTCTTTTTATTAAAACACTTGTGAATTATTTCTTATCTAAATCACCTTTTTAGTGGCTAGACAAAAATTACAAACTTAAACAATGTTACCAAACTTGAATTGTCTCCGTTGAGGGAGAAAAATATATATAAAGTAACTGGAAACATGATATAATCAATTATTGGGTCAATTACATTTTTTTTGTTTTTGAATTTTTTTTCCAATAATACGTACAAATCACTTTGTACATACAGTAATTGAAATATCTCCAATGATTGAAATTGAATATTGATACTAAAATATTCATATCACAAAATATTTATTATATTGTTATTATTTTTTTTTATATTTCATTAATATTTATATATTTCATCAGTAATTTCATTTTGTGATTTATTTTGTAATTACATTACTTTTATTAGTAAAGATATTCATGAGCTGATAATGAATGTTATTTGTTGTTATTTAAAAAAAAATATGTAATTAAAAAAATACTCCTGTTTTCAGGACATTACATTTTGAATCATTAAAATTAAATTTTTTCTTGAAAAGTTTTCAAAACCATATGAAACAAACATAAATACAGAGCTGAAGACTCATGTGTTTTAAATATATTTGTAAAGATTTTCCTTTTTCTTTATCTTGCCCTGTATCTCATTGCCGCTTAATCATTGTTTATAGAACTGCATTTTAAAAGCAGTACACTCACAATCATGTGGTTGTACTGAAATGGTAAAATACAGCTCCTTGCAGCAGTGCTCATATTCAGTGGAGCAGGACTCTTGCTCGTGTGTTATCGCATAATTCAAACTCTTTATATGTAGACATTGTGCATTTAGAAGAGTTCAGATTTGGCTGCACTGTTGGAAGACACTTTAAACAGAACTGATTTTTGACTAAATATCAATTTCCCTTTGCCCGCTGACATCAAGTGTGCCTCCTGCTGTGCCATGATGTGTGTCCGCATACGTGAGGAAGAGGACCTGAGGTAATGGAATGCCCATGTGTCGCTCCAGCGGCCCACAGCTCAGCCAGGATCCACAGCAGGCTCTTCTGCGGCAGGTTGCTCCTCGGCTCGTAGCGGTGTGAGCTTGTTTATGTGTGTGTGAGAGAAGTGCGGAGGAGCAGTGAAAACAAGCCTCTCCCCAGGCTAGTGTTATTCCAACCTCCTGCCTTCCTCAATCCACTTTTGAAGGCAGGAAATCGGAGTTAGCTCATGGTTTGAGGGCCATGTGGTAATGGTTTAGACTGTAGAGACCCATGACCTGCACCTCCACCCTCGCGTGTACACGCACACACTGATGCCTTGTCCCTCAAAGTCTTCTTTTCTTATATAGCACCCAATACAATGGAGTGTATGTTGGACTTTTGTTTCGGTTGATAACGCAAACCAGATGGGAGGTAGGACAGGAAAGTCTTGTTAAATATTTGCTAAGAAAAATAACCCTGGGACGCGGTCTAATTGTATCTATTTGTCTTGTGTGTCTTTTTGGGAAGGAGATGTGGTTATGCAGGCCATATTGGGCTTCATTTTTCAAATGTGGGATCCAGTACAAAGCATGGGAGACGGATGGGATAATGTGTGTGAGTGTGTGTGTGTTGAGGGAGTACAGACAGTTTGATCTGGTTTTTCCCGAGACCCATCTCAGTATTATAAGCATGTTTCTTTATTTTGGGGATGATATTCCAGTACCTGTTGTATAGACCCTTTTACATACCTGCTCTTGAAACATTCGCTCTGTGTGTAGAAATAAGTTGTTCTCAACAAGCAGGTCGGGCCCACTAGGGGACCTCAACAAACTTCCAGGAAGGCCCTAATACATCTTAAAATCATGCACATTTAGTCTTATTAAATATTTGTAAAATATTAAAAAGTAAAGATGTACAACATCTAACATCAGTTTATTCATTTTTATTACAACAGCAGCACTAGAGGCACATAAAGTATCAGCTCAAATATGGCCTTTGAATATTGCCGTGTACAAAGAGGGGCCTTGAAGTCAAAAAGGTTGAGAACTACTGGTTTAAATGCACTTTAAATATTTGGACTTTAAATCTTCAAAAAAAAAAAAAAATTGCCAGACTTAATCTGACTGAAATCGTACCAGTCTAGTTTTGTGAAGTCATACCAGTGTTATGTTATTATTATTAATATACTATTATACTGCAGTTTTTGTTAATATTTTGCATTTGATTTTTACATATATTTTCTGTTTTCGTTTTAATTTTAAAGTTATTTAGATAACTTTAAAATTTTAAAGAGTTATTTAGAATGTGTTTTGTCAGTTTTTATAGTTTTTAAAATTACGTTTTTTTTGTTTGTTTTTGTTTTTTTAGATTATATAGTTCTAGTTATTTTAGTACTTCAACCTAAACTGAAAAAAAAACTAGAAATGGCAGCTCGTTTAAATAAAATAAGTTTAAGATTAATTTAAAAAAAAAATTGTTTTAGTTTTAGTTATTGATAATAACCCTAAATCAGATTAACAGACCTTGATTACAGTATATGATTGAAGGTCCGCTTCATTTCTGCATGTAAACAGGTTACTCAGACTAGAATAGACCTCGTGCTATGCACTTGCGGTTCCTTTGTCTTTTAGAGACAATACGTGACGTGTATAAACTTTGTGCCTTAACTATCTTTTTAAATGCAAATAATATGCAGTATTCATGCACTTGCATTCCTTTATAAAGCACAAAAAGATCTCTATGCATTGACACCATCCCTCTTTTCCTGCTTTGATTTGCACAGTGGGTTTTGATCCAGAGGTTCAGTAGCTGGTCGGCTCATTGTGGACATGATCCACTGCAGTGACATTTCAATTGATCTCCATGAAAGGCCTGGGGATGGCGACTGAAGTGCTTCCAGATAAACCTGGGCAGGGTTGAGCAGAGGCCTGGATCTCCCATAAAGCAGACCCGGGGCAAAGGCATAGTGATGCTCACTGCTGCATGGCAGTGCCGTCCCGCTGGGACCATTTCGCCAGGACTTTTCGTTCTTCTTAAGTGCTGCCAGTTCATTTGTGTAGGCCCACCGGAGGGGCACAGCCTGTGTCAGGGCTTGGAAATCTGGACATAGCTTATTTTTCATATTGCTAATAGGCCAGAATTTCTGTTTTTCTCTTCAAATGGTTGACCGATAGAAGAAACAGACAGAATTGGAGTGTTTTGTAGGTTAAATGGATGAGTTTTGAGTTTCAATCTTGTACTTTTTTTTGGAATAGTTCACCCAAAATGACAATTCTGTCATAATTTACTTCATTCCAAACATCTGTAAACACAGAAGATGTTTTTCAGTATGTCCCGCTCTGTCAGTAAAAAACAGGGTTGGAATGGCATGAGAATGAGCAAATAATTACAGGGTTTTTATTTTTGTGTGAGCAGTCCCTTAAGAGTTAAGGTGAGTGTGGAAGTGTACATGTGTGTGTGTGTGTGTCTCAGCACATCAATGCACTACAATAGTCTCTGTCTGTGTGTCCACACTCAGTCACTACATTCTGTGTCAGCCCAACTGTTGCATGACTGTTCTTATTGTTAGAATAAAATCAGAGCCTTTTGACTGTGGAAACATTTAACTGACGCCTACTTTTGAGGTTCTTGTGGCCAGTTTATTTTAAGTTGAAGACCACCAAAAGTTTTTGGTGCTTATAGTAATGATGGTGGTGATGGCCACAATGATGTCACCACTGTAAAACCTGGTTACCCAACATAGCTATTTCTCTCTGAAGAAAGTATTAGAATAAATATTCGTCTCTTTATTGTTACACAAAGCGTGATTAATTTCAAACATGTTTATTGCAGCATGGAGAACATGGAAAGAGAGAGAGCTCATCGAGCCTTTGATGCTCCTCATGCTCTTTCAGCTGTGTGGAAATGCATTTGCCCAGCCTCTCTCTCTTTTTCCCTCTCTGTCTTTCTCTCTCCCTCTCATTCTTTCAGGACTCAGAGAGAAAGGGTTTCATGAATAAGCTGTATGCCATTCAGGATGTGTGTATCAGTGTCCAGAATGCTCTGGATGAAGTGGCCTCCTATGGTGAGAGGATAAAGAAGTAAGTCTGAGCTCTCGCTGCTTGTGCTTGAGCAGTGCCAACCTCAGTCACATCTTACTCAGCCTGTTATACAAACACAAACATACACATGCGTATACTGCAAAAAATCTTTTTCCTAATCACTGTTTTTGTCTTGTTTTCCAGTGGAATTTCTAAACATCCTTAATCAAATTGACCTAAAAAGCAAAACTTGCCTTAAGAGAATGTATGATATCATTTAAAAGTAACATTTATTTATTATGCAATAATTACTTTAATTCAACAATTTCAAATAAATGCTGTTTTCTAAACTTTCTATTGATCAAATAATCTTGAAAAAAAGCACAAAAAATATCCACGAAAATGTTAAGCAGCACAAATGTCTTCAATATAACAGTTTTCGAATTAAAATAGACACCAGTTATTTGACATTGTAATAATATTTCACAATAGTACTGTTAATTTTTATTGTACTTTGATCAAATAAATGCAGCCTTGATAAGCATGAGACTTTTTTCAACATGTTTATTGACATTTTTAACGTTTTAAGTAGTGTATCTTGAATTAAGTTTGTTTTACCCTGATAGCAATTTTTTCTTTATTGTTTTAAGCATAAGCCTTAATGAAAACATCATTAGAAAAAGAAGAAAAAAACGCATCAAATGAATGTAAATCCATTTGTCCTGTTGTCGGAAGTAGCTCAAGTGCATGGAATATGTTAGATAGACTGGGGCATCAGTTTACTGCATTCAGTGTAGACAGTATTACTTATTATAATGGGTTTTCCTGGATTTTATTGCATATTGTCACTCTCCTCCGGTGTAGACTGGAGTAGGCCTGTGTAGAAGGAAATAACCTCCTTTTCTCACTCTTTTCTGTGTTCTCAGTACTTTCAATTGGACTGTGCCTTTCCTCAGCTGGCTGGCCATAGTTGCCCTGTGTGCAGCCACTCTTGTGGTGTACTTCATTCCTCTCAGATACATCGTACTGGCCTGGGGTAAGCTGTCATCCATTACGTTCATAATGTGTCATGAATGACGAAATAACATAAGCCAGTAGCATGTTGCATAGCGTGTATTTTAGAATTTCAAATATACTATTGTAGGAGTTCACAGAGTTTAATGGCAGTTTAGGTTTGAATGCTCCAGGGATTCTCCACCAGCATAGCAGGGAGGATGGTAAACTGCCGAGCTCAGGGCAAACTCACTAGTAGCTAATGCCCTGTGTGCTCTTTTATACAGTGTTCAGATCTGAAGCTCTGCAAGGTCAGAGAGCAGAGCTCCTGTCAGCTCCATAGCAGCTGATCCTGTAAAGTACAATGATGAGGGTTCAGAATCCGTACAGGGTCTTAGGTCTTCCTGAACTGCATTGTGAGTGAGGTCTAATGCGCCACTGTTATTTCAACTTTCAGGGGTGAACATGTTCACCAAAAAACTGCGAGACCCATACAGCATCGACAACAATGAGCTGTTGGACTTCTTGTCCCGAGTGCCCTCAGATGTTCAAATGGTAGGTATTCCTTATTACATTCACCCGTACTGTCAGTTACTCCAGCATTGTAACTGACAACTGCATGTATTTGGATTTAGCCAAATTCCAAAATGATGTCATTTCTGATGTCAAAAGTTAAAGGGGTCATATGATGCGATTTCAAGTTTTCCTTTCTCTTTGGAGTGTTACAAGCTCTTGGTGCATAAAAAAGATCTGTAAAGTTGCAAAGACTAAAGTCTCAGATCCAAAGAGATATTCTTTATAAAAGTTAAGAGTCAGCCACGCCTGCCTAAAACGCCTCGTTCTAACATGCCCCCACATATCTACGTCACTATGTGGAAATCTCCATAACAATTACCTGCAATCCCTGGAACTACCTGCACTCTCACCAGTGAGAGTCTCTACAATAATGTGCAGTATTTGAAAAATTATGTGTTTTTTGAAAATTAAAGCATCAACATATTCTGTTACACCAAATACACAAAATAATGATCTTTAAAATAGCATCATATGACCCCTTTAATGTAATTAATAATTATGTATTTATGTCTTTTATAAGTTAAACACTTAGGTTTATAACTTAGTTTCCAACCCTAAGTATGAGCAACAGTAATAGTGATGCTAGCCTTAGCAAACATAATAAAATAATAACAATGAACTCTGCTTTGTGAGAAAGTATTTGTGCAGAGTTTCCTGTCTCCCCGTTCCATTTTCTATGCTTTAATTTATGCTTCCTGCTCATGGTAATATGCATAAATGCAGAATCAGGGAATTCTATTCTTGTCATCACAAACAGCCTTGTGACTCATTACCATGGAAAGAGCGCAATATGTTGACTTTTTAAACTCACAAACTTCACCTAAACTTTTATACCTATAATCACACTTTCCTCTTTGGAAATATATAATGCTAATTCATATTTTATTGATTTCACTCCTTGTAATTGGGTGTTTCTTTAACAAAAAGTATCTTTAAGTACCAGGTGGTGCACTACTTTTTGTGTTTTGAAGTTCATGGTAAAACTACTTGGGAATTACTTGATTGCATAAATATATGCTATTGTGTATATTGTAAAGATTGGTTACACTTTAGAATAGGGACCACATATGCACTGTTAATTAAGAGTTTTCCCTGATGCTTTGTTTATAGACTATTTGTGGGTGGCTGTTTGTTGTTTCACCTATTGGGAATTACTTGATTGCATAAATATATGCTATTGTGTATATTGTAAAGATTGGTTACACTTTAGAATAGGGAACACATATGCACTGTTAATTAAGAGTTTTCCCTGATGCTTTGTTTATAGACTATTTGTGGGTGGCTGTTTGTTGTTTCACCTATCAGTTCGTGTTGATAAAGTATAATAGGGTAAATCCTGTATAGTGCTTGCATAAAGCAAGTAGTGCATACACTTGTAGCTGTTATGTATCTTTGTAATTCATTGCAAGCCCCCTTTTGAGGCACGATGTTGTCATGATGATGTCATGTTTAAACGCGAAGCACACTGGAATGAATAATTCACTGAAAACTCAATGCGAGTCTCTGTTCTCTCTGCAATCTCTGATGTAATCAACCTGGTTCCTTTATATTAGAGCTGTTTTGGACGGATTGTTTGAACGCATTCGTTTCCTGGATCATTGGACTGAAAACTTTCCTGGAGTTTAGCAGCTTAAAATGATCTTATCGCAAGCAGAGAAGCAAAATTGGGTTAAAAGGTTATAATAGAAATTGTGCTTCAGTAATTTAGCGTTAACTGCGTAAAATTATTTTAACGCATTAAGGATTGTAAAATTAATCGCATGCGTTAACGCGTTAACGATGACATAGTATTTACCTAGTTTTCAGCTAACTATTAGTTACTGCATCATTTTTATCATGAACAAAAAGTTTGCAAGTTAGTGTACGTGATTACCAAGGAGACATGAAATATGAGACATGTGATGTCAATAGTATGTACAGAATACTTTTATTCTGAATCATTTCCAGTCAATCTATAACCTTGTCAAATTATAAAGATGTGTAAAAATATAATTTAAATAGTGCTAGCTATACAATTAGACTGAAAAAAGTATCTTTAAATGTTTAAAATTTCCACCATATTATATATATATACTGTATATATATACACACAAACAGACTTATACTGTATGTATACACACATACACACCCACACCCACACCAGTCTACAGGGCCATAAGTGTCTGTTGTTAGAGAAATAACCAATTATGTTCTGATCCTTGTTAGTCTTCATGAAGAATGTGATTCGTAAATTTGGGTTAGTTAAGTTGAATGTAAATGGCTTGTGATGTTTCCAGTCTGCACGTGTCTCTCGGTAGATTTATGGACTTCTTGCTGTGTTGTACTGAGTCATGCTTTGTTATTGAGTGTAATGAGTGTAAAGCAGTAATCCTCTCCCGGTCTGCTTCTACATTAACCGTGAGATCTGAGTTATGCGGCCCGCCCCGTTGTCCCGTTTGCAATCAGCAGCATTCTGTCGGAGCAGCAAGGTGCTGCCGTTTAACTGCAATTAAAACTTGAGCTCGTAAACACAAGCCCAGCCTGTTATCGTGCTTCCTCTGTGTCGGGATAAACCCTGCGGTGCTGACGGCGGGGGTGACACGGGGCTCTGATCCAGGACCAGTCGCTTGCCTTTGATGAGCCCGGGGCGGCGGGCAGGCTTTGATCTCTACAGAGTCGTAATCCCAAGCCCCTGCTTGGCTTTACATAGGCCCTGCAGCTGCAGGTAGCCTGCTCTAAATTAGCCCGATGCGGCTAGGTCGCTAAGGTGCGTTTACCCCAAACACCTGGAGCCCAGAAGGTCCCTGCAGGTAGGAGGCCCGGAGGAGACCTGGCTAATGATGTACGGTGAGGTTCATGCTCAGAAGAGTAGGCCGCCGTGGGCTTTCTATGTCCTGTAACAGCTTTTGATTTAGGATAGTCCAGAAAAGTACTTGAACATCGGCGTGATGCGCGGAACGTTCCGCTCTGCATCGCACAACTGCCCGTGGAGGTCCGTTCACCTCTGTTTTCTGGGTTATAGACGCCTCTGTGGGACCTCAGAGACTCAAACAAAGTGTCGGGGTGTGATCTGCACATGCCCAAAGGCCCGAACGTTTCGCACAAATGACAAATGGAGGGCTATTTTTGAGGTTCTGACGTGACCCACACCTCCCGCGCCGTCCCGTGATAAAAGCCCTGCAAGGCCGAGAGAGGCCAGCATTGCCTCTTTTACAGATCATTTGGAGGTGCCTCAGAACAACATGAACTGATGAGATTCTAATGACTTTTTATATAAAGGGCATCTATGCTGCAGTCTGTGAGTACAGAGTGTCTTTGAGTGGGAATGTCTTTACTAACCTCGTTGTTATTTTGAGTACGCTGCTTGCATATGCATTTCGGTGGATACATATCAGTGGAGTGTTGTGGACTGAAATGAGGCAGCAAATTCCCTTTTTCTGTCTCTTTCTTTTTTTTGCCTAATGTAAAGGCATGCTCTAGGTCCATATGATGTTTACAAAATTACTGTGTTAATGGAACACCATTTAAAAAACTTTTATCAGTAACCACATATTATAAAAGCACCAGCATCCCCCTAACCATACAAGGGATAATCAGTTTGAAGGATGGAAGGAGCTCATAAAATAATGTTAGTTTGTTCATATTAACATAATATTTATTAAGGTTATCTATTACATTGTAACATTTTTACATGCTTCACAAACAAAAATAATAGTAACACTAATACAGTAACACTAATATTGAATATCTTTTATATGTACAGGTTGCTGTTGTTCGTCTATTGTTTTTTTTTGTTTGTTTTTTGTTTCTCATCCTTTTTGTCTGACCTGAGTTATCAAATTCTTACCACAAGAGTGTTGGCATGAAGGCTTTAACATAATAAAACTGATTGGTCACTAAAAACCTTAGATCATTTCATGTTACAAGTAATTTCAAAAGATTTTTACTTTTAGTGATTCAGGCTTATTTGATTATTTTACCTCTATTTCACCATTCACTCTCATATCTACACCATACTTTAAAGCACATTTTGAAACTGTATCCACTGGTGTCGCTGTTGGACACTTTATAAACTTGAGTGGTTTGTGTGCTATTTTTAATATTATTTTTATTTTTGGACTGCTGATTACTTTCCCCTCCAGATTTTTGGGGAAGGCACTGTTGTCCTTGTCTCCTCTTGTAAAATAGCCTTAAAATGGATACATTCATTAAATGACTTTATTAATTGCCCAAGTTGAAGGTGTAGTGAAGAGCAGTCAGGTTAAATGTACACTATACACAAGTGCTGTGCTTATTCTAAGATGTGTTTGTAAACCTCAATACATACAGTACCACCTCTGTGCATGGCCTTTTAAGTGCACTGCAGGAGACCAGTGATATATCAAACCTGCTGCGAGGTGCATATTCACTTTGAATTACTCTCCCAGTTTACACACTCTGTGTTCTTTTCATGTATGCGCCTATAGATTCCTCCGAGGATATCTTTACCTGCTGTGTGCCTGCCTCGCTGCTTTGAATAAAGCACATTCTGATATAATGCAATACTTTGTCTCTTAAATGAGGCCAACTGGCATTACCAACTTAACATTCTCTACCAGGTGTCTAAGACGTGTCCTATCGCATACTTTATGGTGCCATTAGCCAATGGAGGAACTGTGTGCGTAACTGGGACGCTAGCAATTAGCACGCCAAGGGCTCCATTATGGCCTATGCAAATGCAGAGATTAAAATGCAGTCACAGCGTACAAACGATTCAGCTCTTAGCCAATTCATCACCTGCGAAGGGCACACACTCGAGGAGAGAAGAAAAGAGGGCAAACAATAGCAAAACTAGTCTGTTTTCTGAGGACATAGTCATTTATGGCCACTTTTAGCTCAAAAATTTTTTTTTTTTGGCAATTTATGGCTGATTTTGTCCCCAAAACATTTTGAAGTAGCTTGCAGCAGGCATGGATGTTATGTTTTCACTTTGTTAAAAACATTATTAAAAAAATACATAA